GTTGTACCAAGCCAGCGAGTACACCAAGTACTGGGACACAGATATGACTGAAAGTTTATTTCACACTTGTGGACTCCACTTTCTAAGAGAAGTGAAGCCCAATTATAGGATTGTGCATAGGTTTTATAGGGTTTACAGCCATGACCTCATTCAGGTGGTTACATTTCATTTACAGATATACAAATCATGGTCACAAGACAGTTAACTTTAATCCAGATGTAGCAATTCTTTGTAGTTAGGGAGTTTACCTTTAAGATTTGTCTAGCTATCTATTTTAGCCCAGGGGAAAAGGGTGTTCAAGGTCAGAAAGGCAAAGTTAAACAGTTGTTCTTTTCATCTCGAAACTTTTACAATCATGTGGCTCACAAAACTTTGGAGTTCAGGGTCTGGATGTGCCCTGTTATCTCAGGATGAGGCTAGCTGTCCCATTCTACAGTTAATGTCTCCAGTGTCCTTTAATTTTGAACTAAACAAAGCAGATTTCAGTTAGAAGAGCAGAAGTCATCCTACATTTTCCTAACATTTTGTAGGACTTTGGTTATTTACAAAAGTTTTCTCTATCATTCCTCCCTTTGTTTTTGGGGGTAACTCCTTACCCCTTGTTATGTTCATATCAATTTTCATCATTCTGTAAGACTTAAAGTCTCACTTCCACTCCACAGAGCGTGAACAGCCAAAAAGGCCTCCACGATGCTGGGCCCTAACACCCAGCGAGAGTCCGGGAGCTCGACGGAGAAACGAGAAACCCAAGAAGGAACACATCAGGCTAGATGGTAAAGAGACCTTTATTAGTCTGGCCAGACGGCACTCCCGGAGCCAGGTGTCTCAGAGAGGCAACTGCTCAGGGGCTGAGGTACTTTTTATAAGGTTTTTCTAAACAAAGAGTCAGGGAATTCACAGAACAAGACTGCAAACACATTGCTTATCTTATGCAAGAAATTTTCTGGGTCACCTTTTGTCAAACCATTTGCCCCTGGGTGGGCTGTTAACCAAGCATATGAAGAAGCACAGTCTGGCCTATTAGCATGGAGTCACTTTAGCTTATTCAAGTCTTACAATTCCACATAATTAGTATCTGATAATGTTGGGCAGCAGCTACTCTCTGTTGTATGAGTTTTGATATCCACTTTTCCATGCATGGACCAAACATAAGGATGAGCAATATAACAATAATTGGTCCTTGAGGGTGCTGACCCAAGCTTTCCATCCTGACAAGTTAAGGCCAAAATTGAATGTTGTTTCCTCCATACCTGTTGTTTGATAAGGGAAGGGGAGCACAGCAGTCTCTGGGGTCATTAGCCAGCCAACAAGGAGTCACTTTAGCTCAGTTGGTTCTCACTGTAGAACCTTATTGGTGAGTCAATTTATTATTTTACTTCCAGTCTGCTGCCTCTCTGTGTGTCACTTACTTCTTCCTCCTGTAACATTTGGTGCGCTGGCCGGGAAGGAAAGGGATAACTGACACAGCCTGTGTTGGGCCTCGACCTGAGTCTCACTGGAGGGAGTGGCCATCTGCCTCCTTGGAAGGGAAGAGACATGCCCCTGGGATTTCCTGGGTTCCCTTTGTAGGACTTGGTGGTTAGCTCACTGGCGGTGGATTGATCAAACCCAGAGCAGAGACAGCAGAAGGAAGGTGAGTGAGGAAAATTGTCTGTCTGAATGGTGAGATCCCCTGGGTTAACAGCCCTCCCTTAGTTTGTCTTGCTTTGCTTTGGTTCTTAACTAAACATTTGGCCAGATTACAGATTGGAGGCCTGATTACCTTCCTTTTGCTGCTATTTGTGAGGGTTTATATCCCCAATTTGGGCAAAATATAGAGTGCAGGCCTAATCACCCCCACTCTTTGCCAATTGTGAGGGTTTTGTTTGTATGCTCTCAACTTGTTATTGTGCTTTGTATTGTACTTTGTAAAGGGGCCCCAGGGAGGGAATGTGTTAACTTCTTGTGTGACTGGGTGTGTGAAAAAGACTTGGTTAGGAGAGTGAGTGGAACGAACTACGAAAGCCATCGGTAGCCTCCTCTGTGCACCAAAACAAAGGGAGGGGGCACCTGCACTTAAAGAGCCTTCCCGGCATTGCGGAGCTTGTGTGGATCAGTCCTGCAAGTCTGTGGCCGTGCTTAAAAAGGACAAAATGGAGACTCTTGCAACAAGAAACTCTCCATAATTCAAGCATGCCTGAAAGAGCTGGGAAGCTCACAGCCAGGCTGATGAGTAAATGAGGATGTTTTCTGGAACAGCACCCCACCCTTTGTCTCGCCAGACAAGGGAATATGTAGTGGTCATGGGGAATGCGAATACTAAACCAACTGTTCTTGAGTACATGATTCAGAATTTCGATAAAGACTTTGTGGGGGACTGTAGAGTAAAACTAAGACCAAAAGATGCCCAGAAAACTGTGAGTTATTATGGTCTCGGCTAAGCCAGACTTGCCCCCAGGGAGGAAAAAACTCTGAAAAGGTTATCTGCCTTTGTTTTAACTGAGACTTTGACAGCTTGGAGCCTTGTACACTCTGTTTTGGGGTGTTGAACAACCCAGCTTGGGAGCTTCTCAAGCCTCTGCTCTGTGGCAATCAGCTGCTGGTTAGAACTGTTTAGTTTTGGTCTTAGAATGACTGCTTGCCAAATCTGCTGTTTTTCAGATGGCAGATTTGCCTCAGAAAATGTGACATCATTACAGGTAAATCACAGTGCTTCCTCTTTGGAGGAGGTTGAGCTGCCTCCCCTTCTGCTTAAATTGCTAAGATCGCAGGTGTGGAGGAGATGGGGGCAAAAACAAGAGAACCATGTGGCTTTATTGCGCTGGAGGGTACAGATGGGAAACCATGGTTGGATTCAGAGAATGAAACAGGACTTGCACTCAGATTTTCAAAAAACTAAAATGAAAAAAATAAATATTTAATGGATTCAAAACAGCTAGGAAAGCTCTGAAAAGCATACAGCAGAATAGAGAAAAAATACTCCCAGCTTTAAGAGCCCCAAGGCCAGCCCTATGTTATCAGCCTGATGCTGACAGCAAAGGTCTGGAATCTAAAACAAAGCCAGAGAAACTGCAACTGTGCTTTACCAGATATCAAGTGATTTTTACAAGAAAAATCAAGTTGCAGGTTTAAACTATTTGGTAAATGTATTATTGTTTCAATTTGAGATAATGTTTGACTGGTGTGCCTAGAGGAAATTTTCTTGTACATTGGAAATTCTTAAATTATGATTATAGGGTCAACTTGCTCTTTTCTGTACTTTGTTGGAAAAAAAATAAGGTTAATACTGTTACATTGACAGCCAGTCAAATTTTAAGATGTAACAATCTAAAAACCAAAAAAAAGGACACTTTAAGATTTTAATAACTGAAGTTTGTCATAGAAGGTTAATAGTAAATGAGACAGAGGAAAATATCAGAAAAGCTATGGGTAAAAGGAATATGCTTTTGATATGTTTGTCTTGTTAGAAAGAGATTAAAAAGATATACAAGACCAGAAGGCCTAAGTAAGTAGAGAAGGTGTGTGAAAATGATTTAACAAGAAAATATGTATATTTGCTTGTTGGTTTCAAGTTTGTTATAAGAGGTTTACATTTACAGTCATAAAGAGCTTTCATTCCTTTTTATTCTAATTCTACAAGAGATCTCTGTTAAATGACCTGCAAATGTTCTGACTAGTTTTAACTAAAAGAGATTTTAGGGCTGGGCATTTAGCTCAATTGTCAAGCACAAGGACCCAAGTTCCATCCCCAGTACCAAAAATAAACACAAAAAAAAGTAAATAAAATATGTTATAATTCAATTGGCCAAATACATTTGAGTGCATTATAGTTTCATAAATTGTCTTATATGTTTGTATCTGTCCATTTGTTTGAAAAGTGTTTGTCTGATTATATTTTTGATCAAAATGACATCAAGGATACAAATAATAGGTTAATTTCTATAACCTGGTTTTATAAGTTAAAATTTTGTCAAGATGATTAAACATAAACTCTTAGGTGGCTACAGCCACTCCAGAGTGAAACAGAATTCCACAGACTTCGACTCCTGGAGACAAGGCACTCAAAGCCCTGCTCTCACCACACAGGAAGCTGGTGAGTCCACGTACGGCTGAAGAATGAGGACTGCAATCAAGATATGGACTTTTATATTGCATCAAACTGTTATGAGCTATTGTGTTTTTAAATTAAGAGTTTATAAGCCTAAAATGATAAGATTGATAACATTATGTGACCTTTAAAACTGTTAAATAAGAACTGGAAGGACATTCCCTCATTCTTCCCTTTGATGACTGTCCAAGGTTTTTTATAAAAACCCTGGAAACCATACTTGACTGTGGGAATTATACACAAAAAGATGTATTGAGTCAGATAATGCTCAAATATGGTTAAACAGTTCTGTTGTAACCAAATGTATTGACAATTGTGCTAACTGTAGACAGGGACAATGTGTATATAGCTTGGTCTTGAAAAGCAAGCTGACCACAAGGAATAGTTTTTTTTAATGTTTATATTGGGTTAGGCATTGGCCTCAAAAATTTAAAAGATAGCTTCTATAGATTAAAAAAAAGGTTTAGCCGGGCGTGGTGGCACACACCTGTAATCCCAGCACTCGGGAGGCTGAGGCAGGAGGATTGCTGTGAGTCCAAGACCAGCCTGGGCTACATAGTGAGTTCCAGGTCAGTCTCAACTACACAGTGAGACCCTGTCTCAAAAAAAAAAAAAAAAAAAAAGGTTTAAAAAGATCCCCTCCAAAAATAGAAAAAACTCCTGCACTGCAGAAAACACAGAATATCCTAAAGACCATCCAAAATTATACAGAAATAGATATAGATATGATAGACTTGATTGATGGTACTCATTCACTGCTGCTATAGACAGACTAGGAATTAGCCTCTGATTGCTGAATTTGCACACCACTCACTGTGGTGACTTATCAGGCAATTGGCATTATGAACGGCCTGCCCTTAGAGCCAGTAAAGCTTACTATGTATCCTTTGCTCAGCAACCCATTACATGTAATTAAGAATGGGACTTGCCTTCTTGGTATCCAAAATTCACAGTGTCTCATCTGTCTGCACTGATATTGTTGATTTGTCCTCTACCATTAGTAATTTACTCTTCCCCAAGTGGAACTTTCTCTGTAAAAATAATGTTTTTAAGGTGATTTCAAGGCATTCTATGAAAAAGGTGCCTTTACAAATTGCTATGACCCCTTAGCTAAAAATTTAAGTAAAATATCCAATAATGGCCAGGGATTTAGCTCAGTGGTTTGGTGGCCTGCCTGCAAGCGCAAGGACCCAAGTTCAATCCCCAGTACCAAACAAAACAAAACAAAACAAAAATCCGATAATGAATCAAGGATTTGATTCTAACTAAAGCCAGTGGGGAATGTGAGACCTGACTAAGCTAAAGTGGCTCCACGCTGGCCTAGTAGGCCAGAGACTGTGCTTCCCCATCTCCTTATCAAACATCAAGCAAGAGCTGCTCAAACTACAAACAAACCTTTTGCTAACGGGGTTAACAGCCCTCCCAGGGACAAATGGTATGACAAAAGGTGACCACAAAAACTTCCCCTGTAAGATAAACAGTGTGTTTGGAATCTTATCCCCTGGTAGCCCTGACCTATGTTTGCATTTCTTTGTTTGAAAAACCTACAAAACCTATGCACAGTCCTGTAACTGGGCTTCTTCACTTCTCTTAGAGAGTGGAGTCTGCACGTGTGTAATAAAACTTCCTTCAGTTTTATCTGTGTGCCAGTACTTGGTGCTCTCCCACTGGCTTGGCATAACACTTTCATTTGCCTAGGAGGAGGAAGGGGAAATAGAGGGCCTGGTCCTTCCTGCCACTGGCTGAAGTCTGCCCTCCAAGGTTGTACTAGTGGTGGCAATGAGTCTTCAAATTTAAATTTCCCGTAGACGCTCTGGTGGTTTAGGCCTGGTTGTGTGGGTGGTTTGGGAAGAACTGCTTTACAATAAATAAACCACACTGTGATCAAAGAGAAGTAGCATTCCCCCAATGGAAAGCAGGGATCAATGAACTTGAGCTCTTTTTCCAAGGTCAGACACAAGTTACCTGACAACCTGGCCATCAGTCAGTTCTGTTAGACTCCAAGCTCATGATTTCTTCCTCTTGCTTGTCTCTAGGAGAGGGAAGAGGAAGAAAGGAGCCAGTATTTACAGAGCACATGCTTACCAAGGCTTATGATTTTTGCAGAATAGATAGAGGGAAGATGTCTGGGAGGGTGAAGGTCTCTCAGTCTAACAATGGTAGAGATTAACCCTTGCCAATCAGAGGTCAATAGAAAGTGGGAAACTCTGGCTGGAGGCCATGCTGAGCTTATTGGAGACAAGACAAACAAATAAACAAGTAACAACCAAGAAAATAACAACAGGAATAGAAAACACGTTCTCTCCAAATACCTTCTATCCTCCTCTCAGTCCCCCAAAGCAATGAAACTATTCCATTTTCCCCTTAATAAGAGGGGTAGAAGACAAAAAGAAAACTCTATGGGGGTGTGCATGAATGTAGAATAGAATTCCTTTAGGTCTCACAGAAATACTGACATGGAGGAGAAAATGGATAAAGGATATAAAGGAGAATAAGCAGACACCCGCTTCAATGTGCCTTTCTTAAACACTTCACTTCTGTTATTTATCCACGTATTATATTTCTACACAAATAAGCTAGTTATGTGGTAGCTCTATAGGTTTGTTATATTGTTCAATGGCAAGGTTCCCAAAAAGAGCTGGGGACGAACAGAATGTCGAGCCAGAAGTATTCCCTGGCATGAAGATTTATGTTATAACTTTAAAGAAAGAAATGAGAAGATGGCCGGACATGGTAGCGCACGCCTGTGATCCCAGCACTCGGGAGGCTGAGGCAGGAGGATCGCTGTGAGTTTGAGACCAGCCTGGGCTACACAGTGAGTTTCAGGTCAGTCTCAACTACATAGTGAGACCCTGTCTCAAAAACAAAACCAAACCAAAAGAAATGAGAAGATAGTGACCAGGGATTGAGCTCAGTGGCACTGCGCATGCCTTGCAAGCACAAGGTCCTGAGTTCCGTTCCTGGTACCCCCCACAAAAAAGAGAAATGAGAAGACAGAAAATGCACAGAAAATACTCCTTTATATTCACAGTGAGATCCCTGGTAGAAGGTGTTAGTACTTTTTCCAAAAAATATTTGTACATATGCATATGGTCATGGGCATATAAGGTGGCCCTGTACTTTTAGAAGTACAATGAGTGTGATGAGCTACAAAATTCTTAATACATTTGACCCAATAAATCTTTAAAGGAAAGAACATACAAGCACTAAGACATGGACACACTTTTACGACTATGAAACAACAAAAGCAATCACAATATTCAACATCTAAGAATAATAAGTAAACTGTTAGCCACTCAGGGGATGGAATATCATACAGCCACTATAATTAGTAGTGTGCTAAAGCCAGCCCACTCTGCCTCAAGAGAGCCAACTGTGTGCATGCATTCTTACAAATTCTGCATCCTATCGTTGCCCTGATCAACCCTGTATGGGCTACAACTCCCCCTTTTATAGGATAGGGTTTTTACAGCCTTGAACTCATTCAGGTGGTTACATTGCATTTTCACAGTTCACATTGCTGATATTCAAAACATGCTGGCGAGGCAGTTGGATTTCAACCCCCCCAACGTAGCACTTCTTTGGTAGGGGAGGTTACTAAACTCATTTAGCTATCTATTCCAGCCCAGGTGAAGGGGGCGTGTCTGGTCAGCAAGGTTAACAATGGTTCTTTTTTTTTTTTCATTTAGTTTATTGGTACATTTTAGTTATACAATGCAGTTACATTTATCTTTGGGAACTTCTACCTTTACATGGTGTATCTTGGTTCTTGTTTTTCCCCATTCCCCTACTCTCCCTTCAAACGCTGCACCCTTCCCTATTTACAAAGACTTTGTTTCCATTTTTTCCTTTTCTTACATTTTTTCATTTCCCTTCTTGCCTTTCCCCTACCCCTCCCACTTCCCCTCCCCCATTTAGACCTTTTCTTCTTATGTCACATTATCAGTTACACATTTTGATTCTTATTTACACTTTTAGTTTCTTACACCAGGGAAGCTATTCTGTATTTATACATGTGTGTCCTCTTTATTTCACTGAACAGAATGGCTTCAACTTTCAACCATTTAGCTCTAAATGTCTCTAGTTTCTCGTTCTTTTTTTTCAGCTTTAATTGAGTTTATTGGTACATTTTAGGGATACAGTACAGTTACATTCATTGTTGGGATCTTGTACCTCTACATGACAAGTCTTGGTTCTCATTTTTTCCTCTTACCCTGCCCTCCCTTCACCCCCTCCTCCCAACAATGGTTCTTTTCATTTACAAAACTTTTTAGGAAGACTAGATGCCTTCAGTGCCTGTTGATTCTGAACTAAACAAAGCAAATGGCATAAATTATTTTACATTAAGGTGTTCTCTAACACTCTGATATGTCAGTAGCATGAAATCAGCCATGGTTGGGATATTTACACCAGGGAAAATGGAAAACAGTCCCATTCCCAGAGCTCAAGTGTCAGGCATAAAGTGCCAGCATGGATGCCATCTTAGTTAAAGGTTAAGCTCACCCTCTTGAGAAAGCAGGAAAGGCCCGGAGTCATCAAAAGAACAGCACATATTCAAGAAAATGGTCAGGAATAAACACCAAGTGTGAACATTCCAGGTAGAAGAGATAGATGATTCCCATAAAGATTAACCATAGCCCTACACTTTGTCATGGAAAAGGCATTCCTATAGAGATAAACCACAGCTCTGTACTTTGTCACAGAAATGTCAGCCTCATCCAGTGCAAATTACATGTTCTGTTCCTTTCTTCTAACCGCCGCATTTCACTTCTGTAATTTTGCTTGCTTCGGCCCCATCTAGAAACATATAAAACCCTCTTGTACTCTGGGCTCAGGGCACTCTCCAAGTCGTTGCTTGGAGGGGCGGTCTGGCCAGACTAATACAGGTCTGTTTGACACCATTCCTGGGTGTGGCTCGTTGGGTTCCTCTGGGGTGTTGTCTTGCTGTTGCTGATTGGTAGTTCTTCAGAACATTTGGTTAAAATCCCTGGTGGTCTTATACAAGCTATCAAACATTTATCAGCACACCATTGGTAATAGTGTTATATAAGCAGAACACAAAGTTGTATGTATATTGTTGCCATAATAATGTTAAAATGAATATTAATAAAAATAAGATATAGGGCTGGGGATTTAGCTCAGTGGTTCTGCCGCATGCCTTGCAAGTACAAGGACCTGAGTTTGATCCCCAGTACCAAAAAAAAAAGATATAAAGCGAATATCAAAAGAGCATTATTGTGGATAAATTGTTTCTTTGGTAGCTGGACATGGTGGCACATACCTGTAATCCCAGCACTCTAGAAGCTGACAAAGGAAAATTCCTGTGAGTTCCAGGCCAACCTGGACTACAGAGTAAGTTCAAGGCCAGTCTGAACTACACAGAGACTTTGTTTCAAAAAAAACAAAATAAAACCATTATTTCTGTTTTTTAGGTCTAGGAGCTAAATCCCTGGCCCCTAAAACAATTATTTCTTTGCCTTTGATGTTAAGATCAGTTTACTGCTATCATTTATATAAAATGTTTAAAGATGGCTTTCTCTTTCCACTATGACCAAGTAAATTCCTATGGGCTCATCTTCTCCCAAGAACTATAATTTCTGGAAGGAGAAAATCACGTTTAAATATATAGAGACACTGGAGAATGATTCTGGAGGAGAGTCAACACTTGGAAGAGCAAAACAACATGTAATAAAAGATCCTATTTTATGACAAATAGTTTGAGCTCAGGATATGTTGGCATTGTCTGCTAAGCAGCTAGAACTCTGGTAGAAAAATCAGCAATAGTTTCTGGCTTGGAGATGCAAGGACAGAGTTTAGGGAGCTTAAAGACATTGAACAATGAGGAGAGAATTGTAGAAGAGAGGGGAGGCCCTAGATTTTGTGTATAAATTGTGCCTAAATCTCAGCTGCTCCTGAACCGCACCAACTTGAAGTAGTGGAAGTAAACTTGGGGCTGCTGCCCAAGCGATGGTGCTTGTAGGTTGTGTTTAGCCAGGCTTAACTGTTTGCTAAAATCAAAACCAAACCAAGTGAAAAAAAATCAAGCACATGTAGAAAGATAACCCAGTTTCCACAACATAATATTCACAACGTCCAGCTGACAATCCAAAATTACTTGACATACGAAGAACTAGGGAAATGTAACCCATTCTCAATGGGAAAATATTACAAAATCACTTGGGTGCTGGAATCAGGAAATAAGACTTCAAAGCTTCCACCCACTCATACTCAATTATGTAAGGGTAAGTGTGCTTGCCACAAAAGGAAAAGTAGGAAATCTTGAATAACGACAAATTATTTTAAAAAATAATTAAATGGAAATTTTAGAACTAAAAATTACAGTGCCTCATATGAACGCAAAGGTCTAATATTTTAAATTTGAAGATTATGGAATATGCTTAGTAGAATAGAGATAACTAGAAAAAAATCAGCAAACTTGCAATATGGATCAGCAGAAATTAATCTAAGAACAAAAAGTGAAAACAAAATTGAAAAAACCGTGTCTAACATACAATTGGAATTATAGGAGGACAAAAATGAGAAAATAAAGTAGAAAAAATTCTTGATTTTTTTCTAGATGGCTAAATCTTTTAATGGCTAAATCTTTCCACAACATAGTGAAACACATAAATTTACAGATATGCATATGCTCACGTTCTTAATAACAGTGTAGCAGGAAACTGCAAGGAAATCCCAGACAGAGCACTTGAACATGGAGTTAGGAGCAAAAAGCAGCTTTACTAATGTTGGCAGCTCAGCCAGTGACTCCTGTCAGTCTTGAGAGCTCCGAATAGAAGTTTGTTCTTTATATACCTCTTTTTACATGTGTGAGGCTTAATTTTATGGAGTTTCCCTGGGAACATAGCAATCAGGATTTACACAAAGCAGAGGAGCTGGGGGCAGGGGAGTTCTGGCAGGACTTTGAGTCTGCTAAGCTCCTTTGGTGACAGATTACAGAAGTTGTCATGGTTACTTAGGTGCATTCTACAAAGATCATAGTCACCCAGTTAACCCATAGTTGCCCAATTCCAT